AGTTGTTGTTGTTTGGCAGGCCCAGGCTGGATTTGAACCTGCCAGCTCCAGTGTATGTGGCTGGTGCCCTTAGCTGCTGAGCTACAGGTGCTGAGCCAAGAAATTTTTTGTTTTTTTTTTTTTGAGACAGAGTCTCATTGTGTTGACCTCGGTAGAGTGCACTGGCATCACGCCTCACAGCAACCTCCAACTCCTGGGCTTAAGCTATTCTCTTGCCTTAACTTTCCAAGTAGCTGGGACTACAGGCGCCCACCACAACGCCTGGCTATTTTTCGGTTGTATTTGTCATTGTTGTTTGGCAGGCCCAGACTGGATTTGAACCCGCCAGCTCTAGTGTATGTAACTGGCACCTTAGCTACTTGAGCTACAGGTGCCACCCCCATCTTATTTTATAACTTTCACTGCCCCTAAACTTTTTGTTTGCTATTTTAAAGCATTCCATCCATGGCTCGGCGCCTGTGGCTCAAGTGGCTAAGACGCCAGCCGCATACACCTAAGGTGGGGGGTTCGAATCCAGCCCAGGCCCGCCAAAAACAACAATGACTGCTGCAACCAAAAAACAGCCGGGTGTTGTGGTGGGCACCTGTGTTCCCAGCTACTTGGGAGGCTGAGACAGGAGACTGGCTTGAGCCCAGGAGTTGGAGGTTGCTGTGAGCTGTTTAGCCACAGCACTCTACCCAGGGGGACAGCTTGAGGCTCTGTCTCAAAATAAATAAATAAATAAAGCATTCCATCCATTATATCATTTCAGTGTGCACCTCTACCAGATAAGAATAGTTTTTTTAAAAAGTGTCAATATTACACAAAATTAACAATACATGTAACATAAAACTAACAATACATCCTTGAAATCGTCTCAGTCAGCAGATGATTTTCCTGGTCAACTCCCTGGGTGGCCTGGGTTCACTCCCCTTCACTGATCACCTGCTGTTGCTGTGCTATTTGGGTTTGGGGCCCCTACTTTAACACAGAGGCATATTCCTCCTAACAACTGTATTTTCCTGCCAATTTCATTCTCAGGAGGCTCTGTTTACTGATAAACAATGGCAAAGCTTTAGAATCCCACCTTTGAGGCTAAGCCCTACCTTCTTGGCTCTCTGCCTAATTCCTTAGCCTTGAGGCCAGAACTGTAAACAGTCTGCCCAGGAGGACTGGAAAGTGGCCCCACCTCTGGTTGGCAGCCCAGTTGACCTTGATGTAGACTTTCAAATGGAGTTGCTTTAGGAGAGGCCTGGGGGATCAGGCTTCCCCAATTCTTTTAAGGAATTCTCTTCAAACTCCTTTAGTTTTTCTCAGACATCTTCCCAGTGCCAGGATCTCATGACATTTTAGACGATCCGAGGAGAAACCAGAGCTTGAAATCTCCCATTTTAAACTGGCTTATTAGTTGGTTGTGCAATTCAGCAAGGTGTGCAGTCATCTGACGCTCTGCCTCTCCAATCCCTGGCGATAGACAGAAAGGGCTTCACCTAAGGAAGGACAGACTGGAGCCTGCCCCACTCCGCTGTGAGGTGGACCCCCTGCTGGCCTGGCTCGTCTTTCTTGAAGCCTGCCCCTGAAACCCACAAGAAATAGCCAGCACGTTCTATCTTGACATTCTCTGGTGGACCCAGAAGGTCAAGAGATGACACATGGTTTTCTGGCCAGCTGTTTCATGACCAAATAGGAAGGCTTGCCAGATGCCTGGCCTGGGACAGGAGGGTGATCCCAGTGCTGCTCAACTGGTACCATTTAACAGGATCCTTCAAGCAACACTTAGTTTCCAAGTTCCGGATTCTGTGTTAGGGCTCTTGTGGCTATGTGGGGCAGGATTCGAACTCAATGCTGCTTGGCACTGGTAGCTCAGCGACTACGGTGCCAGCCACATACCTGAGGCTGGCGAGTTCGAATCCAGGCTGCCAAACAACAATGACAACTACGACCAAAAAATAGCTGGGCATTGTGATCCTTGCCTGTAGTCCCAGCTACTTGGGAGGCAGAGGCAAGAAAATTGCTTAAGCCCTAAAGTTTGAGGTTACTGTGAGTTGTGACACCATGGCACTCCACCGAGGGTGACATAGCAAGACTCTTACCTCAAAAAACAAAAATTCAACACTGTTTCGTTGCCAGGCACAGTAGCTCACACCTGTAATCCTCACACTCTGGGAGGTGAGTGGATTGCCTGACCTCAGGAGTTACAGACCACCCTAAGCAAGAGGGAGACCCCCATCTCTAAAACTAGCTGGGCATTGTGACAGGTGCTTATAGTCCCAGCTGGGGAGGCTGAGGCAAGAGGATCACTTGTGCCCGAGAGTTTGAGGGTGCTGTGAGCTATGATGCCACAGCATTCTACCAAGAGTGGCAAAGTGAGACTGTCTCAAAAACAAACAAACAATTTCAGCAAGAAGGGGAACTGACTGGAAAGAGGCAGTCACCTCACAGAGCAGCCTCTCCAATCCTCCCTCTCTCTCCCTGCCTGTCTTTTGTGGGCTCCTTTGTCCTTCTGCAGACCCATCACAGAAGTGCTCTTAGTGTTGCCCACACACTTCTGTTCCCCAAGGAGCTACATGAATTCCAAAGTCCAGTTCCACCCAGATCAATTAAGTATGTCTGGGGGTGGAGCCGGGCAGCAGTCCCCCATGTGACTTGAATGTACATCCCGGGTGGAGAATCACTGCATCAGAGCTTCAGGTGCACAGAGGAATTCTTGTCCTTCTCATTCATAATTTGAGGAGGACTCTGGGAAACCTGTTTAGGGACACGTGCCACCGTCTCTGGCCAGAGGCCAAGGCCCCCATGGCCCTGCAGCAGCTACAGGTGGGGCAGGGAGCAGGCATCCTCCAGCAGCTCCTGCCCTTTGCTTCTCTCATCCCATCCCTACCCTGGGTTGCAGGATATGTGACAGTCACTTTGTCTGTCTTGATTTTGGTCACTTTGCCTTGCAGAGTCAAGCTCAAAGCAGAAGCTAAAATGTGTCCTTAGGATATAGGGACGTGGTGGGAGATGTGGTCACAAGCTAGGTGGAGGAAGCCAGAGCCAGGTGCTGAGGAAGAGGCATGGAAGCCAGGGAAGAGGGGGAGGTATGGACGGCTCCTTCCAAAAGGCTGAATGCCATGGCCAGAGAGAGCCCTGGAGTCCAGGGAGAGTGTCTGGGTGTGAGAGGGCTGTGCATGAGGGGCGGGTCAGCACAACCTGGCTTGGGGAGATGGAAGTTGAAGGACTGATTTCTCTACATTTTCCCCCTTTTATATCCCCTGTGGAATCTGGATTTCATAAGCCAAAGCCCTTCCAACTTCAACAGCACCTCTGGATGCAGGATGGGCTTCAGCCAGTCTTTAGGCTCCCCCCTCGCATTCTGATTTCAAGGCAGGGACATAGCTGGGACTACAACAGACCTGGAGAGATGGACTATCTGGCAACAAGGGGCAGAACAGGGGGCTTCAGACCCTACTCAAAACAGTCCTAACATCCTTCTCCTCTTAGTGAACTTCACAGTTTTGCCCCTCACTTGACTCTGATCCCTAGAACCCAGCAGAGAGTCTTCCAGGGATTGTCCTTTCTCTCAGGAGGGCTCCCGGGGCAGGGCTTGATACCTGTGGGCCTCCTTCCACACCCTGGGCTCCCCCTGGGCAAGGCCTCAGGGGCAGCCTCCAGGGGTCTGTGAGATCTTGGAGATCCTGGTACCAAGGCTGTGACCAGGTTGGGAAGGTCACCAGGCAGGGGCAGGAGCTTTGAGTGCTTTCCTACTTAGCCCTGGATGTGCCATGTAACCTACTTTGGACCACCATCTCCCTATCTTTATGCCCAAGAGCCCAGGGGTAAGCTCTGACCTCTACGTCCGTACCTCCCCCTCTTCCTCATCCAAGCCGTCCCAAGAACAGATTAAATGATACCACAATTGAGGCTGAATGTTCACTTCTCTTTCCAAAAAAACCCAAACACACAGTCTAGGTGCAGCGAGGGACAGAGGCTGGCTGGGGACTGGACATTACACACCCAGGGGGCCCTTGGCAGAGGCGGGCAATTTAACAACGGGTCTGAAAGTCAAAAGAGAGAGAGCTAGTTAGTGGGATGAATGGTGGGGATGGGAAGGAAGGGGCTGTGCATTTGGGCCCAGACTCTGGGATTGGCCAGTACAGCCAGACCTTGCCCCTCTTGCCAGCCCTGCCTGGGGCCCATTCCCAAGAGCGGGGCAGCAGGGGCATCCAGCCTAGCCATCTGTGTAGGGGTCCAATAGCATTGCGCATACTGGAAGAGCCTGAGGCCTGAACACAGAGAATGTAGGGCTGAGCCTGTGGTCCCTCTGGACCTGTTTTCTTGTGTGTAACGTGTGTGTGTACCCTAGCATGGCTCCCTTCAGAAGTTGCATGAGGAGCCAGTGAGACTGGTGAGGATGAAGAGCTCTGCCCTACCCAAGGCACTGGGTACTGAGATCCAGGGCCCAGCATGTAGCAAACACCCTCACAACCCTTCAGTGAGTAAATAACGGGGCAGCCAAAAGGGCCAGCAGCTAGGCTGGTGCCTAGAGCTTTTCCTTGGGTACAGATGCCAGGAGGCTGTACAGACAGGATGGTGCTGGGACCTGAGCCTGTGCAGGCTGGGCTGGGGCCTATCTCTGGTCTGGTTCAGGCCTCTGGGCTCTCTCTGAGGGTCTGGGTCTGAATCTTATATTGCAGGGTGTGTGCTTGTGTTGAGAACAAGCTGCTCAGACCCCCAGAATGAGCTCTGGGGATATGCTGTGCCCTACTGGCTCTGCCCAGAGAGCTGCAGGGGCCAGCTGGATTCTGGATAGCGGGGCCACTGAGCGCTGGATAGCCAGGCCATTGGGCAGTGGGGCTGGCTGGCAGGTGGAGCTCAGACGTACTCGCGGGCAGCAGTGGAAGGTCCAGGCCGGTAGGGCTGCGGACTGCTGTTGACTCTCTCGGGCTCCGGACATGTGCAGCAGAGGAAAGAACCCCCCAGCATGGCCAGGCCAGCTGAGGCCCAGCCCACAAACAGGGCTGGGCCAAATTCGTACCTGCAAAAGGTAGGGAGAATGTCCCCAGCTCCTGCCTTGGCAGAGAACAGGCACAGTATAGGGACTGGAAGCTGGAAGTCACCAGCCTCCTCTATCTTTCTAGATAAACTGGGACAAGTGGGCCTGGAGATGAGAGGCTTGGCCTCCAGCCCCTGCACGGAGCAATCCTGGGCACATTTCCTTCTCCAGCCAGTGGAGGGGGCATGGGAGGGCCCACAAGGCCTGGAGAGAGGCACAGAGCCATCCTTGTGTCCTTCACCAGTCGCCAATTGGCCCACAGAATGCCCAGCCAGGGCTGTTCCCTGCTACCCTCTGTAGAAGGCCAGACCCCTCGGCTGGGCACTCTATGCTCTGTATACCCAGGCCCTGCTGGCCAGCCAGCCCAGCCCCTTCTTGGGTCTCCCTGCTCCTGTGCCTTTACCAGACTCCCCTCTTGAGGCATATCCCCTATCCTTCACCCCTCCCCCGAACCCCACCCCACCACTCCCCATTCCTTCCTTCCCTGCCTTTCCTTCAGGGCTCAGTTCAAATGCCACCTCCTTGTGGGGTTTGCCTTGACACACCATCTGGTCTCTTGGGAAACACCTCAAGGGCAAAGTGTGGGATTCATTTGTGTCCCCATGGCCCAGCCCAGGGCCTGACAGCCCAGGCAGCCAGGGGATGGTTGAAGGAATGAAGGGCTGAGTCCCAGCCTGGCATCCTTGAGCTGGACCTTGCTTGGCAGATCTTGTAGCCACCACACAGTGAACAAGACTCAGACTGGAGGTCTTCTTTTCCTCCCTGCTCCACATGTCTGCCTTCTCCAGGGAACCCTCCTGACTGACAGTCTGGCCATCTTTTCTCATCCTCCCTCCACCCAAGGGCCAAAGCCCACTGAGATGTCTAGGGTTGAGACCATCCTAGTCTCTGTTCCTGGCTATGCTGAGAAGTGAGGGAGGGGCGAGGATGGGCCCAGGCTGTTGAGAGCCCTCTCCTTGGCCCCGACACCCACACCTTACCAGTTCTAAACATTCTATATCCCAAATGTCTCTGAACCTGCTTTCCAGTGCTCTGTATTCTTTCCCTGGTCCCAAGTACCCTGCTCAGACCTTTGCAACTGCTGCCTGCTGGCCTTCCCCTTCCCCACCATCCTGTAGCCAGGGGGGCTGCCGCTGCCTTCCACCCCAGAACTGGCTGCAAGGCCCTATTCTCCAGTCTCAGCTGTGGCTTCCTGCAGGAAGCCACTGGCTCAGGTTCGCTGAGCACTCCCTAGGACCCAGGAGCTGTGCACATCCCTCACCTGTGACAGCCTGCTGAACCCTTACAACCATGTGTGAGCTGGTCCTCAGGGGAAGAAACCAGGCACAGAAAGGTGGAGTAACTTGCCCATGTCCACAGCCAGTGCAGACAGAGCTGGGATCAAAACCCAGCGCCAGGGCACTTAGCTCCTTGAAGAGTCCTGGTGCCCTGAATGCCCTGCATAGGCCTCCTGCCCCTGGCTTGGCTGTGTCCCACCTGGCTCTCCTTCTACAGTGCCTCAGACAGCATCTGGGTCCCATCCCCCATGTCCTATTCCCAGTGACCTACTGGATAAAGGTCAGTGGGCCCAGAGGAGGTGAAGCAAGATGCCTTGGCACTCACCTGGCATTGACAGGTGTGCTCGGGTTGAAGAATTCCTGGGTCACCAGGGTGGCATACCAGGAGACAGCAGTCAAAGTACAGAGGCCTGAGGACAAAGCAAGGAGTACTCAGCTCTGCTCTGGCCACTGATGCCACCAGGGCTGGGGCTGCCTGCTGTGGCCAAGATGGTGGATAGAGTCAGGGATACTCACCAGCCAGGAGGAAGAGGGCACCACCAGAGATGGCCACGCGGCCTTTGGCAATGGGGTTGCTGTCTCCGACCCTTGTGCACTTCATGCCTACGACGCTGAGGACCATAGCCACAAAGCCCAGGAGCACAGCCACCACCATCAGGGCTCGAGCTGACTGAATGTGACCTAGGGAGTGGACAGCACTGAGCAGGGCTGGGACTGGGGGCCACGGGGGTGGGGCCCCAGTGCAAGGGGACTGGCTTGGGAAAGTGACTGGAGCAGGTGCAGAATAGTGGGGGTGACAGTGGGATGTGAGGACAGGGCATGGGAGTGTTGTGCCCTTCACTAGTAATGCTATTTTTTCACTCCCCCTTGCAACTCTTTTGGATTTGCTATTTGTTCTGCTGCATTCTGATCCCAGGCTCCCTCTTGGTCCATCCTCCCGAGCAGCTGAGGGCAGCACCTCTTAGGGGCCTTGCTAAAGAAAGGACTGAGGGTATCTGACCTAGGCCCAGCCCCCCTATTGACGTTTCCCAGCCGGCCATTTGGACTCTGGTCACCTTCCCCTATGCCCTGGGAGTCACCATGGCAGCAGGGAGCCTGCCTTTCCATGGGTGCAGGGAGCACTCAAGAGACCTGGGGCCCTCAGGGAACCTGTATGACTTGCCAGGACAGTGAAGTTGGCCTGGCTGATGGCAGCTCAGGCTGCCCATGGGTGGCCTTGTGGAGAGTGTGTGGGCTGCCCCTGCCCCAGGGTTAGAGCCCTGGTGTTGTCTGTCAGGTTCAAATGCACACCCAAGGAGGAAGGAATCATGAGCCAAAGCCCCAGTGAGTGCATGTGCATGCGTGTGTGTGTGTGTGTGTGTGTGTACACCCATGGGCTAGCAAGTGGGTGTGGGTACACTGTGTGTGTCTGTGTACTGAGTGTGAGAGACATGGAGGGAAGGATCTTAACTGAGCTTTTCTAAGTGCCAGGCACTGATCTCATTCTAACCCCCCAAATTCCCCTTTACAGATGAGGATATTCAAGTGGAATGAGGTTTGGTGACTGGCTCAAGGTTACAGTGGTAGAGTTAGGAACTGGACTCTTAGCTGCCAGATCCAAGTGCCCTTGCTTCCCGCAAGACAGCAGGCTGGCCTCGACTCCCCAGTGCGCTCAGGGAACTAGGGAGCGCTCAGGGTGCTCAGGGCCTGGAGTGTGGAGTTCAGAGCTGACAGCAGACTATGGGGAAAGCTTGCTCCAGACCTCCCCCCACCCCGTCCCCACACCCCACCTCCGTCCCACCAGCCCAAGGCCTACCATCCAGGGCGAGCAGGGAGTCATAGAGCTTGCATTGCACCTGACCAGTGCTCTGGGAGGCGCAGGACATCCAGAGCCCTTCATAGAGGCCCACAGCGGTGATGATGGCGTCGCCGGCGTAGGAGGACTGTTTCCACTGCGGCAGGGCTGTGCTGGCAATGATGCCCACCCAGCCACCCAGAGCCAGGAAGTAGCCCAGGAGCTGGAGGCCTGAGTTGGCCATGGCCCAAGGGAGGGGACGAGGGTCCCAGGGCTCAGAGCTGGGCCAGGGTCCCAGGGGGCGCTGTGGTCATGGCCAGGTGGGAGGGGCAGCTGGGTGGGGGAGCAGTCAGAGGGTGGGTCAAAGGCAGAGAAGGAGACGTGGTGGCCGGCGGCAGCAACAGCAAAGGCAGTGGCTCTGGACTCCAGAATGCAGGGGGAGGCCCCGGGGCTGGAAAAGGCCAGGGCCCGCCCACAGCAGCCGCAAAGCCTGAGCAGGGTCCCCAGCAAAGCTCCTGCCCAGCCCCCTGGGGGTGGGGGGCGGGGCCTATGGCCCAGGTGGGTATCGCTGCCCTGCCCCCAGGGATAGATAAAGGAGGGGCCAGGAGGAGCGACCCATCTGCCCTCAAGCCTTTCTACCCAGGAAAACCCCTTTAGCAATCTGAATCAAGTGCCCTAAAATTCTCATAATCCCTAACCCAATCACCAGTCCTGGGATGGTGGACTTTGCTCTTGCAATCTGACCGTTGGGGTTTTCTGTCTTCTGACTTCAGGGCACAGTGGAAGAGGACTTAAAGTTTCTAACAGATAAAACTAGAGACATCATGGAGAACTTTTTGGCAAGTGCTCTTTGGGCAGATGTGGAGAGACTAGGTTAGAGATGGGGTATTGGGGAAAGGGGTCCTGGGTACCTGGGAGTTGTGTGTGTCAAAAATGGGGGAACTAGGCCAGGGAATAGGTACTGTGGGTTGTTTGGGAAATGAGGGGGAACAGAAGACAGAAAAGCCCTTTAGGGCTGGGCAGGAGCTGGCTGCTGGCCAGCAAGGGGCCTGGTGGGGAGCTAGGGAGACAGCACCAACATTCTGGCATCAACCTGAAGGAAGGCGGATTGCTCAGCCCGTTAATCCCCTTGCTGGCTGGCTTAGCAGCTCCTGCTGGGACCTGGGGCACTGGGCCCTGGCCCCCAGCTCCTAAACAGCCTGGCTTTGGGGCCGCAGCCTCTTCACCCACATTCCTGGGGTTCAGGCTTTCCCCCTCCTGACTCCCCCACCTTTCCCTCCCAGCTTCTATCTGAGCTCAGCCCTTAGGAACAGGGGAATGTTTAACTCTCCTCGACCTCATTAGCAATCCCCTCACGTTCATTTGGGCCCTAGGGGCTCTCAGCGTGGGTGAAGGAGGAATGTCCCCAGCACCACCCTGCTCCCACTCCACCAGCTCCCCAGCCAGCCACCCCTGCAGACCACCGCCTTTCCTGGACTGCACTGGGGGAAGGCAGGGTTTTGCTGCTGACCCCTGCCTGCTGCCTCCCCCACAGTGCCAGTCCCAATCTGCAGGGATGGGTCCCCAGCCTGCTGCCCCCTGTTCCTTGCATTCTTCACGTGGCTATGCAAAGGAGAGGGTGACAGGCCTGAGCAGACAATGGCAGCCCTGTGTGCCTGGCCAGGGCGTAGGCCCCTGGTATGGCCAGAGTTGGGGGAGTGAGCTGCCCTATGAGGGTCAAGGGTGGGCACTATTTGGCATGTGATACCACACACTGGGTCCCTCTGAGGCTCTTCAAGCTGGGACAGTCAGAGACATGTGGATCTGCGCACACACAGACCTGCTCCCTGGTGGACAGCCTGCAAGTCCCAAAAAACCCAAACCTACTGTGATGCAGGTTTAGACAGTGACAGGAAGTGTCTTGAGCTCAAATTATGCCACTATGACAAGTCAGTAGAATCCCGAGTCACCTCCTGGGGACACAGTGAACACACTGTGACAAGCTTCTTATGCCTTAATCCATGTCCGCCTTGAGGAAGCCCTTCCAGGTAGGCAGGCCTCAATAAGGGACCACCAAGGAGGTAATTACTCTCAGCTAGAAAGGGAGGGGCTTCCTGCCCTGGGCTGTGTGGTGCTGGCTTCCATGTTCTGTCCTCCATGCTCTGCCTATATGAGGGAGGTACTAGGTCCAGGTTGGGAGGGGGCAGGTAGTCACATAATGCTCCCTAGCAGTGACCTGAGCTGACCTATGTGAGGGTGGGCTGAGGTAAGCAGGGGTGGTGGGGCCTGTACTTGGCAGCTGGTCAGTACCTGCTCCTCCCAGGGGAGCCTCCTTCCCCAGCTGGGTCTCAGCCCATTCTTCATACCTTCTGTAGGGGCTCTCTCTGTAAGGAAGATCCAAACATCACTCTGGTCTTAGGAGGACATGGGTTTCTGAGCTCTGGAGCCATACAATGGGCTGTGACCGCTTCCATGACAAGTGCTGTGCACCAAAGAGGAAAGTGAGCTGTTCTCCCAGAGCCAAAGGGGCACCAGAATGCCTGCGTCCATCTGCAGAGCCTCTTTTTGATCCAGAATGATGCCCACATTTCCCTCTGAGGCTCTTCTGCCTATTTGCCATTTGAGGTTTTAAATCTGTTCTACCAAATATCCTCTCCTACCGTGATGGATGTCCCTCATCCATGCTCTGAAGCCTTTGGGGTTCAGATTCTAGGCACTCCTGAACCTAGCACAACTTCTCCAGCCAGGAAACCTACTACAGTCCAGTGACTCCCAGGCATTTATGCAGAGAAGGATGGCTCAGCACCCCCAGGATGGCATACTGCACTATTTTTTTTCTTTCTATTAATTAATTAATTTATTTTAATTGAGACAGAGTTGCATTTTGTTGTCCTCGGTAGAGTGCTGTTTCATCACAGCTCACAGCAACCTCAAACTCTTGGGCTTAAACAATTCTCTTGCCTCAGCCTCCAGAGTAGCTGGGACTATAGGCACCCAACACAATGCCTGGCTTCTTTTTTTTTTTGTTAGAGACAGAGTCTCACTTTATTGCCCTCAGTAGAGTGCTGTGGCATCACAGCTCACAGCAACCTCCAGCTCTTGGGCTTAGGTGATTCTTTTGCCTCAGCCCTCCAGGTAGCTGGGACTACAGGAGCCTACCACAACACTCAGCTATTTTTTTTGTTACAGGTTGGCTGGGGCCAGGTTTGAACCCACCACCTTTGGTTTATGGGGCCAGCACCTTGCCCACTGAGTCACAGGTGCCACTTCATGCCTGGCTATATTTTTGTTTTGTTTTTAGCTGGGTTTGAACCCACCAGCCCTAGTGCATGTGGCCAGCGACCTACCACTGATCTACAGGTGCTGCCTATTTATTTTATGAGATAAAGTCTCATTGTATCTCCTTCTGTAGAGTGCTCTAGCATCATAGCTCACAGCAACCTACAACTCTTGGGCTAAAGCAATTTGCCTGCCTCAGCCTCCTGAGTAGCTAGGACTACAGGTGCCCTCCACAACGCCTGGCCATTTCTTTTTTTTTTTTTTGAGACAGAGTTTCATTATGTTGCCCTCAATAGAGTGCTATGGCATCACAGCTCACAGCAACCTCAAACTCTTGGGTTTAAGTGATTCTCTTACCTCAGCCTCCCAAGTAACTGGGACCACAGGCCTACCCTAATGCCCAGCTATTTTTTTGTTGCAGTTGTCATTGCTGCTTAGCTGGCCCAGGCTGGGTTCGAACCCGCCAGCCTCAGTGCATTTGGCTGGCACCATAACCACTGTTCTACAGGTGCCAAGCCTGCCTGGCTGTTTTTTAGAGTTGAGGTCACGTTCTGGCTCAGTCTTGAACCTGTGATCTCAGGCAATCCACTCACCTTAGCCTCCCAGAGTGCCAGGATTACAGGTGTGAGACACTGTACCCGGCTTTACCTTTTTTTTTTTTTTTTGAGACAGAGCCTCAAGCTATCACCCTGGGTAGAGTGCCATAACATCACAGCTCACAGCAACCTCCAACTCCTGGGCTTAGGTGATTCTCTTGCCTCAATATCCCGAGTAGCTGGGACTACAGGTACCTGTCACAATGCATGGCTATTTTTTGACTGTAGTTGTCATTGTTTGGCAGGCCTGGACAGATTCAAACCCACCAGCTATGGTGTATGTGGCTGGCGCTTTAGCTGCTTGAGCTACAGGCGCCACCCCTTACTTATTTTTTTTGAGACAGAGTCTCACTTTGTTGCTCCTGGTAGAGTGCTGTGCAACCTCAGACTCCTGAACTTAAGCAATTCCCTTGCCTCAGACTACACAGGCGTCTGCCACAACACCCAGCTATTTTTTAGAGACGAGGTCTTGCTATGACTCAGGTTGGTCTAGAATCTGTGAGCTCAGGGTAATCTACCTGCCTCAGCCTCTTAGAGTGCTAAGATTATAGGTGTGAGCCACCACGCCTGGCCTATTTCTTTTATTTATTTATTTATTTACTGAGATAGAGTCTCACTATGTTGCCCTCAGTAGAGTACCATGGCATCACAGCTTACAGCAACCTCAAACTCTTGGGCTTAAGCGATTCTCTTGCCTCAACCTCCCAAGTAGCTGGGACTACAGGCACTGGCCACATGCCCAGCTATTTTTTTGTTGCAGTTGTTTAGCTGGCCCAGGCTGGGTTTAAATCTGCCACCCTTGGTGTATGTGACTGGCACCATAACCACTGTGCTACAGGCTCTGAGCTTTCTTTTATTTTTATTTTTATTTTTTTGAGTCAGAGCCTCAAGCTATCCCCCTGGGTAGAGTGCCATGGCATCACAGCTCACAGCAACCTCCAACTCCTGGGCTCAAGCAAGTCTCCTGCCTCAGCC